CCCACCCTCCCCTCGCTGTGCACTTGCCTTCCTGCTAGCATTGACCGACACGGACTCCCACACATGCGCAGACGCGTCTACCCCTGCAACGCTGCTCTCGACTTCGTCTTCCCAGATACGCACTTCGCATCATACCCTCAAATTTTGTAAAGGATTTTATTAATGGGTATTTCTAAATTACCTTATTAATACAGAATTAGTTAACTTATACTAAGTATAAAATAAGTTTCCCCTCTTCCGTTTCTGAAATGGAAAGGAAATTGGCACCAGGGGACCCAGGACAGTGACCACCCTGGGCTGAGTCATCTTCAGGGATGCATCAAACCTGGCCCCCCTTCCCCTCCCTTCCTCCTCCAAATAGCCCCACAACCCTGCCTGCGTTCTCTTCTACCCTACCCTGGCCATCCTCCCTCCACTCCTGCCTCAGTCGTTCTTCTCCCCCATGGGCTGAGGCTGATGGTCTGGACAGAGGCTGTCCCTCCACAGGCGGTAGGCGATGGAAGCGGTCACGGTGAGCCAGGCCAGGTAAGGCAGCAGGAGCAGGGCGGCCAGCTTGTTGATGGGGTGCCAGATCAGCGCTGTACTCACCACCAGTCCATAGAGCAGCAGCAGGTGCAGCAGGGCCTGGATGGGGGAGGGGCGGGGACGCAGGGCAGTCAGGTAGGTCGCTCTGAGCACTGAGCCCTCCACCTTTCTGCAGCACCCTGGACCCAGTGAGCCAAGTTGCTGAGGTCTGGGCACTCAACCAGAGCTCAGAGAAGTCTGCCCACCCGTTAACCTGCTTGCACTCGATTGGTCTACTGTGTTATCTGCTCTGGGGGCCACGGGTGTTCTCACCTGTTCCTACACTACTTCCACTGCATGCCTTACCAGACCATGGGTGTGGGCTCCGAAAAAGAGAATCAGGGCAGCCCAGCTGACGGCGAGCTTCACAGCATAGAGGCCGAGAGGCAGGGCCAGGGGCCGCCCGAAGCCCCCTCCCAGGTCCTTCCACACCAGGTAGGAGGCATAGCTGTGGAGAGATGGTGACAGAACACTCAGAAGGAGAGAGGACTCTTGGTACCAAAAGGAAGCCCTGTGGGCTGAAGTGGGAGCTGGCATGTCTAAGCATCCCTTGAGGGCCTGCCGGAGGTGGTGGGAGGAGCCGGGCACGCAAGGTGAGGTGGGGGAGGCCATGGGGAAACTCAGAGAGGGGGAGGAACTAGGCTGTCTGGAGTCCTAGGCAGGCGCAGAGGGGACTCCCCCCTCCCCCCAAGAGGCAGGATGGCATGCCGTCCCTGTGAAGGCCAGAATGCAGTAGTAGTTCAGGGGTGCAGGGCCTTGTTCCCATCCTCACAGGTATCAGGGCCAAGGCAGGAGAAATGGGTGCTCACCCCATGACAAAGTAGATGGTTATCCACCCTGCCAGCAAGACTTTGTGAGGCGGGCACCAGGGCGGTTTCTTTGGGCTGTCGTCCCAACCAGACGTCCGATGACGGGTGAGCAGCCAGAGCAGGATGGGCCCCAGGTGGGGAAGGGCCAAAAAGATGGCACCGTGAGGCTGCATTCCCCTCACAGAGGCAAAATCTAGGAAGGCAGACAACATGCTGCTGGTGGGCCTCCCTCCTTCCTAGTCCTTTCCCCACGGCTGCTTGACTGTCTCCACCTGCTACCTGACACTGTACTGTGGCCTGAGCCCCTCCTGGGAGGTCTGGTAAGAGATGCCATTCTCCCCACCTTGGCCCAGCTCCCATCCTGAACTTGCTAGCCCATACTGCCTTGCTCTTTCTCTGGCACTCAGAAGATACTGTCCAGTATTGATAACTACTTCTGAGTGCAAGGCTCTTTCCCTCTCGTGTGTATCTGACTCCTAGAGTTCAGGTCCAGGTATGATGGTCTTTTCTGCCTCCCGTAGTGGCTGGCAGGTACACAGCAGGCCCTTGACAGGGACGCTGCCTTATGCTGAACTCAGCCAAGCTGATATAACCTGCCTGGAAGGACTAGAGAGGCAGGATCCAGAGATTCACTGGGGGTCTTTTCTAGTAAAAAATGGGGCAGCCCGGGGCACCTGGGTGGCTCAGTGGGTTAAGCTTCTGCCTTCAGTTCAGGTCATGGTCCTGGGGTCTTGGGATCGGGCCTCGCATTGGGCTCTCTACTCTGCAGGGAGCCTGCTTCCCCCCCTCTCTCTGCCTGCCTCTCTGTCTACTTGTGATCTCTGTCTGTCAAATAAATAAATAAAATCTTAAAAAAAAATAAAAAAAAATGGGGCAGCCCATAGGCCCCCAGGCTTATCTCCATACACCAGACTGGCAGACCCAAGAGGCCCACAGCAGCCTGAGCTGCTGCCCTATTTGAACTTAGCTGAATGACACTGGGTTCCTTTCTCTGAAACGTTAGGTCTCACCCGTCCCTCAGGGGCTGGCGAGGTCCCTCTTCCACCCCTCCCCTTCCAGGGGGACTGAGCCCATGACACAAGTGCTCAGCTTTCTTGTGGCCTGACTTCTCAAGGAAGCAACTGCCTGGTCTTTGATTAAGAAGGCTGCCACATTCATTTGCATGTGGAACAAGACACAGACCCTCCTCCAGCCAAGGCCCCCCAGCCCCCACATGGTATCATTCTCATTTGTACATGGTACTTCAGCCCCCTCCCATGACTGCTGGGACTGCAAGGAAGACAGATGTGGTGATTCTCAGTGTCCTGGAGTGACTGTCTACTTCATCCTTTCCTGTCCAGGGCCCCTGTCCACGTCCTGGAGGTTCCACGGACAGGGCTCCCTGGCCTCCTGCCCTTGTGTCTCTCTACTTCTCTGCCTCTCACTGGCCATTCGCTCATCTCCTGCCTTCTTGTCTCTCTTTCTGTTTTTATGCCCAGTGTTGAAGGCTCCTCCTGCACCCACACCCTATTTTCTCCTGTTTTCCACACTCTTGCTGCTGCCTCCTTATTCCCAGGCCTGCGTTCCCCTTACCTCAAGCAGCATACCTCCCAGGACGAATCCCCGACGATATCCGTTTTGTGCAAAGCAGAAGAGGGTGGGGGACCAGGAGGAGGGCGGAGTGAGGCTCCCATCTGGCCTGTCTTTCTCCAATGACAAGGGGGTGGCACTGGCATGTCTCCATGGCCATGAAGGGTTCCTTTTAGGAGAGGACCCCTGGTTTGTTGGTCCTGGTCTCTGGAGGACTTGTTAGAAAGATTGAGGCTTCGGCACCGTGAGAGCCTGATCCCCTGGGCTGGGGATATCGAAGCTATCGAAGGCCACAAAGCCTATCGAAGCTGGTGGCCTCCACATCCCGTGAACTGGCTTGTGTCCACGGGGGTGGTGGGGACCCTCAGATTTCCCCAGGATCTTCCTGTAGCAGGGGTTACCCCCCAAGTGAAGCAAGTGCCAGCAGCTTGGAAATGAGTTCATGATACATGGACGCAGCCTCTGGTTATAGCCCAGTTGGCATTCTCCTTCCCGGCTTGGAACTCGAGCTTGACAGATTTTCACAAACCCCTATAACTTCATGACTCAGAGGAGAAAGCAGCCTCCTGTGTGACTCACACAGATCCTTGTCCAGCAAAGACTAACACCCGCCCTTTCTGTCCCTATAAAAGTTCTGAACAGGGGCACCTGGGTGGCTCAGTGGGTTGAGCCTCTGCCTTCGGCTCAGGCCACGATCTCGGGGTGCTGGGATTGAGCCCCGCGTTGGGCTCTCTGCTCAGTAGGGAGCCTGCTTCCCCCTCTCTCTCTGCCTGCTGCTCTGCCTACTTGTGATCTCTCTTTCTCTCTTAAATCTTAAACAAACAAACAAACAAACAAACTTCTGAACACCTCTCCCTTGTTCGTCCTTTACTCTTGAGGTCCCCTTCCCAGGCTGGCGGCTCTCCATCATTCCTTTGTCCCATCTCTCCACTTTGGGGACTCAGTTAGCCCTGGGAGTTTATCCCATCCTTTGGCTTCTACCCTGGGGAAGGCAGCAGAGGGGAGGAGGTTGCAGTCAGAGACAAGAGACTGAGCAATCATTAACTGAGATGAAAGCAGGGGCAGTTACTTATGTTCTATGAGATGATTGATACCTGGGGGTCTGGGGAGTTCACCTCGGTCCTCGACAGCAGGAGGCCAGCCCACGGGGCCCACCGTGACAATAGTTACCACTTAACTGGGCATCTACTTTGTGGCGAGCATTTTACAGTTATTAGCTCAATAACGACTATGCTTATCCCTCACACGGTAGATCATATTATCTGCATTTGTCAGACAAGGGAAGGGAGGCTCAGAGGGGTCGAGTAACTTGCCTAAGTGTACTCAGCCAATAGATGAGTCGCCTTTGTTCAGTGTCTGTAGTCTGGGGCCAGAACACATCCTCTTTTCTCTGAGTGGGCCCATGCATTCATTCAACAAGTCTTTATTCAATACCTGCTATGGACCAGGCTGTATCAGGAACTAAGAGTACAGCAGCAAACAGCTGGGGAAAAAAATCCATCTTCACGGGGATCTTTCATTCCACTGGCACTTTCTGAGGCAGGATTTCTAATGAAAGGACTCAGGCTGGCAAACAGCCCAAAGTCTGCTCTCCCCCAAGTTCAGGGCTCCTGCCAATGCTGCTGCACACTGCACACGGGCAGGAAGCAGATAGGGGAACACCCCAATGCTGCCAGCACCTTGTGAGTCATTAACCCTCTCAGTGCCTCCTCTCATCTCTGTGCAGGAAAGGGTGCAACTAGACATTGTCTAAGCTCCTGGACCAGCTGCACTGGCATCATCTGGGAGCTTCTTAGAGATGCAGAATCTCAGGCCTCAGCTCAGACATATATGGGATCAGAACCCCCCTTTTCATCCTGTCCTTCATGTGTTTTGTGTGCATGCTGTTGTTGAGAAGCTCCTGTCAGGGCTCCCTCCTCTTACCTTCTGCCCTTTCCCTAGCCTCTGGTGGGAGCAGCCACTCACCAGCAGAGGGCACTGTAGGGAGGGGTTCACCTGTACCCAGGTTTTCTCTTTCGCTGTCCCCTCCCTTCCAGACTCAGACTGACTTCTGGGATCCTCAGCTACTCCTCCAGCTCAGCTGGACTTTGCCAATAGATAGGGACAGACTCCCTCACCCCTCTTTAGGGCTCTGGGAGGCAGGTCATTGCCAGGAAGCTCCGGGCCACTCCTGCCCGGATTCCCCGCCCACCTCTCCTTGTCGGCTGGCCTGGTGACCTGGTCTGGCTGATTTCCCAGAGAAGGAACTGCTATTCCTGGGCAAGCCAACAGCCTCTGGGAGCACGTACACGGTAAGGTGAGCACCCCCTGGGGTAGCCGGGGGCAGGGTGGGCATTGCAATGGGGCCACCTGGGGCTCCATCAGGCCAGCTTAGCCAGAGTGTGGAGAGCCTCTGCTAGAGGAGAAGAGGGCAGGGGCAAGTGCTCAGTGGGCATGAGGATCTGGGAGTCTGTTGTATGCACTATGGAAATGTGGACTATGCTGATGAACGCTGCCCATGGCAGGTTTGGACTCATCTGTCTGGTACTTTTTATGTGTTTCAGTAATGAGCTGGCAGGGTTTGCGTAGGCATGGTAAGAACCAGTGATGGGGGACGAGGGTTGAGAGCTACCTCAAAGGACATGAGCAGAGTGTTACAGCAGGAATCCAGATCTTTGTGCTGGAGGAGGCAACTTCCGAGGGACAAGTGATGTCCGCATTCTAAAACACCGTTGTCTTGGGGACCTGCTACCCGTGATAGTCTGGGGTCAGGGGCAAGGCAGACTGGAGCCATGGGTAGTAAGGAGGCAGGCATGGGTTTGAGAAGGTCTAGGCTATATTTATCTGGTTGGCCTGCTGTAGATTCAGGACCCTTCCTCCTCCTAGGGTTAAGGGGAGGATGGAGTGAGGGCCAAGCAGCTTGGAGATCTGTCAGCCTGGGAGAAAGGGGGCCGAGCTGGGGGAGAGTTAATGAATGGGCTGCCCATGAGAGGCCCCTTGGGGCCTTGGGGAGTAATATGCCAACTGTTTCAGGTTGGGAGGCTGGGCAGGGAGACTCTGCTGCGCCATCCAATGGGGTGGAGGGGATTTGGACTCTGGTCTTTGGAGGCCCCAGGAAGGTTGTTGTTCCAGAAATAGCGGAGTCCCTCCTTTCTTTCATGTTAACTAGCCACCGGTGCCTTTGTGGGCAAGGGGAGGGTTTCGTCCCGCACCGTGGAACCAAGGATGTGCCTTTTGGGTCTTTCCATTTATTTTTACTTTATTTTTGTTTCTTTCTCTTTCAACTTCACTTCCTCTAGAAGTGGAAAGGAAGAAAGACCCAGGGGGAAAAAGGGGGCAGAGAGAGAAAGGTAGTGTTTCTGAAACATAGTCATCATCTCTGTTCATCCTTCCCTCTGCCTTCAGTTGTAGCTTAATAATCTCCCATACGCCTCCATGGTGAGGAGAAAACTTGGCTTCCTTATCTGGGAAGCGGAGGTAAAAATAACACCCAACTCACAAGGCTACTATGAGGATCAAATGAGATGGGCCACATAGAGTGCTCCAACACAGCGGCATGGGGTAGAGCTCCATGAATGATAACCAGTATTACTGCAGTTATAATCCCAATTATTTTTTATGTTGGAGGACCTTTTGGAATGGCTGCAGCGTGAAGGGGAGCTGGCTGCTCCAGCCCCCTTTTCCACCAGATGTGGGGCCTTGCCAACTCACCCACTTCACTCACGTGCCCTGCAAGGGTCTTTGGCTGAAGCAAGCCGCTACAGTGTGTCTGCAGGGTTGCACTGAAAGGCAAAGGGAGCAATGCCAAACCTTCCTTCCTGTCTACATTTTCGGTGGGGATGGGATAAGGGTGGGGGGAATAGATCCTGCCATAGTCCTTAATCCTGACGCTACAGAGGAGTTTCTGCCCCTTTCTGGGAGGACCCAAGGAAAGGGGCTTGGGTTTCGTGGGCCCTAAGGAAGGAAGAAAGAAGGTGGGCATGGAAGGACCTGGAAGCTTGAGGAGAGGCCTCAGCTCTGGGTTGGGGTGTGAGCGAAGGGAGTGGGGAGGAACGGATGCCAGAAGCCTCTCTCTAGTGCAGATCCCAGTGAATTAACCACGGGGATCTCCAGGATTTTGAAAGAGGCTATGATTCCACCCAGAACTCGGTTACAGAGCAAACGAATCATATTCCCTCAAGAGCTTCCTGAGACATCATCTTTATCCCACAGTTCAAGGTACACAGCTGGTGCTCAGGAAGTGTGACAGTATAGAGTCAAGGGTCCTTCTGCAAGGTGGGATGGCCATGGAGAGAAACTTGGGAGGGGTGAGCGTGTCAAGGGCTGGTGAACCACAGGGAGGCGCTGTAGAGTGGGAGGGGGTCCAGGTGGGTAGGTGAGGCAGATGGGGAGAACAGCTGGAGAAGAGGCCAGAGGCTGGAATTAGGTGGGTGTGAGGACCCCAGCCTGGCCCGAGTGTAGGGTGTTGGAGATTCAGGGAGAATGAGGGCGGTAGGCTCTAGAGGGCCTCAGGAAGGTCTGGCAACCATATGGGGAAGCTGCTGGAAGGGCCAGGTTCCAATCTGAGGCCCCCGCTGGTAACCAGGCGGGCAGGCAGTCAGCGCCTGCCTTTGCCCAGCCTCACTGGAGAAAACTTTGGTTTTCTTTCTCGTTTTGCTTCCATGTTTAAGTGTGTTACTCTTTCTAGTTCACAGGTCCCTGTGAGCTACCTTCTGACCTTTCTGGCAATAGGTGGGGCCTAAAGAAACAGATTTGGGCAGGGCTTTATCATCTGCAAATGCTTTCCCCATGATCTCATGCCATCCTCACAATCACCCTGAGCGGTAATTATTGTTTAACTTTTGGTAGCTTTTCAAAAGAATTACAAAGTTAATATAAAATACATGCCTGGGGTGAAAAAATTCAAATTCAGGAAAAAGATTTTAAGAAAAGTGAAAGTCCTAGTTCACACCTTCCACCCTCTCAATTTCCTGTCTGTTTCAGTAGTGACTGGGGGGAATAGCATGGGGTGAGTCCTTTCAGACCTGCATTGCTCCAGACAGGAATCACTAGTAGGTCCCAACTGCCATGCACTGTGAGTGTAAAATACACACGGATTTCAAAGGCTTAGTGGGAAAACAGAATGTAAAATATCTCAGTAATTTTACATTGATTTCCTCCCAAGTGATATTTTGAATATATTGGGGTAAGTACATAAAATATATTATTAAAATTAATTCCTCCTATTTCTTTTGACCTTTTTATTATGGCCATTAGAAAGTTTAAAATTGCATTTGTGGCTTACATTTTTTTTTTTAAAGATTTTATTTATTTATTTGACAGACAGAGATCACAAGCAGGCAGAGAGGCAGGCAGAGAGAGAGGAGGAAGCAGGCTCCCTGCCGAGCAGAGAGCCCTATGCGGGGCTCGATCCCAGGACCGTGGGATCATGACCTGAGCTGAAGGCAGAGGCTTTAATCCACTGAGCCACCCAGGTGCCCCTGTGGCTTACATTTTATATATATTATATATAATAAATATATATTTACATATGTATAAAATATATATATATTACATATAATATACATATATAACATTATGTATATTTAGAGATTTATATATGGAAGGTTATATATATGTGTGTCTGTATACATATATATGTAAAAATTTTATTTATTTTAGAGAAAGAGTGATGGGTGAAGGAGCAGAGGGAGAGGCAGAGAATCCCAAGCAGACTCTCCATTGAGCATGGAGCCAACCCAGCGCTCGATTTTGTGACCCATGAGATCATGACCTGAGCCAAAATCATAAGCTGGATGCTTAACTGATTGAGCCACCTGGGCACCCCAACTTACATTATATTTTTACAGCATAGTACTGTTCCAGAACTTTCTCTGTGGTTGGCATGTATACACCCGTAAATATGTATCTATACTTGTCTACAGTTCTGCTATTTACATTAATGGGGTTGGAGGATGTCTAGTTCTCTGTAACTTGCTATTCCACTTAAAGATTTTTCTGTGAAGATCAAGAGCAGTATTCTGACAGATGCAGAAACTGAGGGACAGTAAGCAATAGGACACATTTGCTCAGCCAGTGGCCAAGGTGGCACTTGAATTTACATCCTCCTCACGGGATTTAAATGTGATGTACTAGGCCATGGGGAGCCATGGCAGGTTCTTGAGTCAGACAGAGATAGGGGAAGTTTTGATAAAGGTATTAATCGAGGATGCACTGGAATGAAGACAATTGGCTCCCTCACTGCAGCCGGCTGGAAGCTAAGCCTTGGCCTCCAGGACATTGAAAAGGCTTACCTGGCACTGCCTCATTCCTCCTCCAGGTCCTTGGCCTTGGCTGGCCCAGGGGTGCAGGGGAACTGGCAGCATCGAGGGACCACGCGGATGTGCTCTGATGAGAGTGCCTTCCAACCGGCCCGGTTCCTATTGCTGGTGGGTGTCCCGGTGGCGAGTGCCCTCCTTCTGGTCCAGTGCCTTCGATGGCACTGTCCTCGCTGGCTGCTGGGGGCCTGCTGGAAGCTGGATAGCCAAGAGGAGCCAGTGGCCCATCCCACTCCCCTACCAGAAAATGAGTCCTCAAGGCAGTGTGTACCAGCCACACTGCCGGAGATGGCCGCCTTCTACCAGGAACTGCACACACCCACTCAAGGCCAGACCATCATCCGTCAGCTGATGCACAAGTTGTTGGTGTTCTCAGCTCGAGAGGTGGATCACCGTGGTGGCTGCCTGATGCTCCAGGATATGGGCATCTCTCTGCTCATCCCACCAGGTAACAGCACCTTCTCCCTTCTCAGCCTAGAGTTGTTCCTTGTGTGTTGCACAAGGGTGTTGTGCCTCAGGGAGCATCATTTGTAGACATCTCCATAATTTTGAAAATTATTTATATTTTTATGACTTCATTGACTCCAAAGATGGATAGATTGCATATTTTTGTGACAACTCCCTGACAGGAAATAAAGTGCCAGGTGGAAATGAACAGTGTGTTATGACAATTCTCAGTAATGGAAAGTGTCTGGAGCAAGAGCACCTCTTGCAAATTCCCACTAGTCCCGTAAGGGCTAACAGTGGCCCAGGAGTGAAGGGAGGGTGACCTGCTCAGGATTATTCCACAAGCCAGCTCAGCCTTTCTCTCCTTGCACACTGCTTCCCCATGTGCCCTGCTAGGCAATCTCTCTCCTGGGCTCCTGTCCCACCTCCCCTCCCAGTGTGGCCTGACCTCTCTGGGGTTGGGTGAGCCTGCCTGTCTGGCCCATCTCAACTCTTGTTCTCCCCAGGAGCTGTGGCTTTGGGCCGCCAGGAGAGGGTGTCCCTGATCCTGGTGTGGGACTTGCTGGACGCCCCATCACTGTCCCGAGCCCAGGGGCTGGTGAGCCCTGTGGTGGCGTGTGGCCCCCATGGGGCCTCCTTCCTGAAGCCCTGCACCCTCACATTCAAGCACTGTGCCCAGGAGCCCAGCCATGCTCGTACCTATAGCAGCAACACAACCCTGCTCGATGCCAAGGCCTGGAGGCCCCTGGGGCGGCCTGGGGCCCACACCTCCAGGGACGAGTGTCGTATCCAGCTCTCCCACTTCAGGTAGGCCCATTGGCCCAGTCTTCCTGCCCGTTGTCTTGGTTGGCCTCATCCTCCACTTTCTGTCTGGAACTGCCCCTTGATCTGTCCCAGACAGCCTGCAAACCCCTTCACTCTCCGTGGCCCTTCCTGTTCCCTCTGTCCTAGTGTGTAGGGCAGCTTGTCCCACTCCAGCCCTGTCCAGGACTGTGGCCCCTGAGGCAGGCTTTCTGCCCATCTACACCTACCACCCCAGTCCTCCATCTAGAAGGGTCTGTCCCATCCCCACCTTTGTCTCTCTAAACTTGTCTGTGTCTACCCTATGTCCCTGTTCAGGACCATCTAGGGCTAGGGCAGGCTGTCCCCTCCAGTTCTCAAAGACCCCCTCCCATCTCATGTCTGCCCTTAGCTCTGTCTTTCCAGGATCTTAGGTTCTTCTGTCTTTCTTTCCCACTGAGCACAACAGGGCCACCCAGCTGAATCACAGTGGCCCTGAGCCCGCCTTCCCTCCCTCCCACGTGGGAGGAGTCTTGCTGGCCCTTCCCCCACTCTGTGATGGTCACTTCAGTGTGATTCACATTTTGTCCCCCTACCTGCCTGACTCCCCCTCACTTCCCCCCTTGACTGCGATCCTTGGCTCCTAGTGCTTTAGAAGCCAGCTGGCAGGTGCATGGGGCCCCCAGCTCCCCAGTCCCCATCTTTCCCTGCAGTCTCTACACCTGTGTGCTGGAGGTGCCTGCGGGCCGGGATGCCCGCAAATGGCTACAGCTGGCTGTCTTCTGCTCACCGCTGGCGCCAGGGCAGTCCCACCTGCAGCTGCGCATCTACTTTCTCAACAACACACCCTGCGCCCTACAGTGGGCCGTGACCAATGAGCAGCCCCACGGGGGGCGCCTGCGTGGGCCCTGCCAGCTCTTCGACTTCACAGGGGCCCGCGGGGACCAGTGTCTGAAGCTCAAGTACATCTCTGAGGGTGAGTGAGATGGGGGCCTGGGCTGCAGGGGCCCCACTAGAGGGAGGGGGTCTGGGCTTCCCCTGGGTAGAAACCTGGGAACCTCGAGTTTCTTTTGGCTTCCAAAAGAAGGGGTTCCAAGGGGATCTCTGGCTTCTGTGGCTGCCTGCGGAAGCCCCGGGCTCTGTCCACTTCCTTCCTCTGTGGTCCATTTGGTCCTGGCCCGTCCGTGGGAGGACAGGATGATGCTGGGGCAGGGGGAGGGGAGGCTTTTATTGCCTCCCCTGGCTGGGGCTAGTTCTGAGGAGGGGTCCCAGTCTTCTCTGCTCCCCCCCTTCCTTTGTGGCATAGGCTGCTGCACTTGCTTACGGGGCCGAGGACATCTGTGTGGTTCGCGGACAGAGCCCAGATGCATGGCTGCTTCTGCGGGTCGTGGATGGGAGGTGGGAGGTGTGTGTGCTGTGTGTGTGGGAGATATGTGGTAGTAAGAGAAGGCTGCTCACAGGGTCCCTGTCCAGGCTCTGAGGACTCGCATCCACTCCAGACACCTTCCTGCTTTCGCTCCCGCCTCATGCCTCCCCACTGCACCCTGCATGACACCTGCTGCAGAGTAGGCGTCCTCAAACACTCGTGGAAGACCCCACTTTCTGAGGCCCTCCACTGCCTCCTCTCCAGGTTGGGAGAATGTGGATGAGAGCAGTTGCCAGCTGGTTCCCCATCTCCACATCTGGCATGGAAAGTGCCCCTTCCGTTCCTTCTGCTTCCGGAGAAAAGCAGGTAGTCCAGAAGACCCGGTCCACCTCCTCCCCTCTCCTTCCCAAGCCCCCACCTCCCCCCACCCCCTGCAGCTCCTTATTTGGTTAGGCATGCATGCACACCTTCTCTAAAAGGCGAGGAGTCACAACTGATCTTAGTAGAGAGCAAGATAGAGCATCTTGCCCAGTGCCTTCAGATTTTGAAAGACTGTCTGTGGAGTCCCTTTCACTTCTCCTGCTCCCTTATGTCAGGCTTTGCCCTTGCTGACCTACCGTGTCCTCTCCTCTTTGTAGCCAATGAGAATGATGACTGCTCCACACTTACCAGTGAGATCATCGTCACCATGCACACTTTCCAGGATGTGAGTTGGAGCTGAGGGGCAAAGCAAGGGCAAGGTTTGGGGGAGCCCTGGGCAAAGTGGGTGAGGAGTCTGGTGACCAGTAAGTCTGGCCTCAATCACATAATCAAGCAGGTGGATGGCATTCTTCTAGGGGCTGAGACCACCTGGCTTCCAAGTTGCCCTCCATCCCTGACTCTCTTGTCTATCCATGGATGAATCCAGTAGGAGGGTAAAAGAACCAAACCCTCGATTAAGCCCATTTCTTAGCCCAGAGGAACTTGGACATCAGAGAAATGTGGTTTCTTTCTAGGCTGACTGTCTGCACCTGAGAGATGATATTGTGTATCTTCAGTGTGGAGAGCAGCTGGGGAGGGGGGAGCTTGAGTAGGTGGGATGAGAGTTAAATATCACACTCTCCTGAGGGGGGAGAGTTGACATCAGGGTTGAGAGTCCCTGGGGAGCCGTGGTGGCGCCTCAGTGGAGAGTAGGCCAGTACCTCTCAGGTTGTCACCTTCAAGGAGGGACCAAGGGATGGAGGGAAGGAGGCACATGCCTGAGTTCAGTGTCCCGACCTTTGACTGACTTTTCCCTGCCCTGTGACCTCACTGAGACTTCTCCTGATCTCTTAGGCTGCACCCTCTTTGGCTTCATGTCTCAGCTCCCAAAGAGCTCAGTAGACAAACTTAAAGCTGGAAGTTCTGGGGTCAGAGGAGCAGAGGGGAAGGGACACTAGGTGGGGCAGGGTTGTATCTCCTGGTAGAATAGCTCTGGGTGACAGGCTGAAGGATCTGAGGAATGGAGGCAGGTTCTCCAGTTTCTTGCTCAGGGGAAGTCTCACGATCCCTAAGTGTGTTCCTGACCCTCTGCTGGCTCAGGGCTTGGAGACCAAGTACATGGAAATCCTCAGATTCCAGGCATCAGAGGAAGAGTCCTGGGCGGCTCCACCCCCTGTCTCTCAACCACCCCCGTGCAACAGGTGAGGTGGGGTTGCTTGGGCTACTGGTGGCGGGACATTTGGGATTCTCTCCCCCATCCCCGGCTCCTGCAGGGCATGTCCACCATTTGGGGTGTGTGTGGAACAGACTGGGTTTCTCTGATCCTCCCTTCTGAGAACCCCACCTCTCCCATACCAGGCTGCCCCCAGAACTCTTTGAGCAACTGCAGATGTTGTTGGAACCGAACAGCATCACGGGCAATGACTGGCGTCGGCTGGCCTCCCACCTGGGGCTCTGTGGCATGAAAATCCGGTAAGAGGGACGAGGTCTGCAGTTGGGAGGGGGGGGTGGGACTGGGGTGGTGGGCTTCCAGGACACCTTGAGGACTGCAGCACAGTCAGTCAGAGAATGGCTATTCCCTATCTTGTTCCCCACAATAGAGCAGCTCTTTTTGTTTATTACCATTTTCTCAGTATCTAGAATGATGCCTGGCTCATGAGTAGGTGCTCAATAAATATTTAAAAAATGAATCAATTAACTTATAAGTCATTGGGTACATACTGAGTGCTTGACATGCTGTGCTCTGAAGGGTAGAAGGCAGAATATAAGATAATGTATACAAAGCATGTAGTTGAGTGCCTGGCCTATGTTAATTCAGTAAATGTTAGTAATAATGCAGGCAATGGAACCATGGTCTCTGTCAACAGCAATCAGTAGGAGAACAATTTTGAACTAAGCTCCGGAACCCAGACTATGAGTGCAGTGGTCAGGAAGGACTTCACCCAGGAGATGGGACTAGAGCTGGACCCAGCTGAAAGCAGAGTGGATTTAAAAATCACCTGTTTGCTAAACATTTATCAAGTACCCACATTTATCAAGTGTCCTGGAAAACTATGCTCAGCATTGGAATACAAGGTGAATGAGACCTGGTTCCAGCATCCAGGAACTCACACCTTAGTAAGCGGTACAGAGAGCCTAAACAATAAAGGCAGGGTTTTTTGTACATATTTGTGTATTGTATATATCCACTGCTGCATAGCAACTTGAGAACAGAGACACAACAGCTAAAGCAAGAAGCACGAAGACGTGGGGTCGCTCAGACCAAAAGTCTGAACTGGAGGGTGCAGGTGGTGTCCACCTAGGAGGTGGGAATTAGGGCTTTAGGGAGGAGGTGGTAGGGAAGTGGGGAGCTGCCCCTCTGCTGGGAGGGAGTAGCACACCTGGTTGTGGGTGTGGTGTGCAAAGTGGGAAAGGGATAGGCTCAGAGAAGGAAGGTTTGGGATTGGGATTGGGAGAAAAAGTCAGGAAAAAACAGCAACACCAAGTTATAGATAAGTTGAGGGTCTGGAGTATGGGCTTGGCTAGTACTGGAAAGAGACTCTGGAATGTTTTTGAAGAGGGAAGGGTCCTGGCGAAGCCATGGTTTAGAACAACTGTTTCCTCACGGGTGGGCACGATGTGGTGGCCTGGGGGAGAAGGAGGAGGGGAGAGTATGTCTGGGGTGGGGGACGTGGAGAAAGCAGTTAAGATTATGGGAGATGGAAGCAACCCTAGAGGCCCTCTTGCCCAAGCTCCCTGTGAAGGAGGAAGAAACCGGGGTCTAGAGAGAGAATAGCCTTTGAGCCAGGATAATCGCAGGTCTTCAGGCCCCGGGCCCTCCCAACACCCCAGTCCCCTGAAGGCAGGTAAGAGCAGGACGAGGGCCGGAGCTGGGGGATGGGGTAGATCCGGCCACAGCGCGCCCACCAAGTCTGTATCCCGGCCAGATTCCTGTCCTGCCAGCGCAGCCCGGCCGCAGCCATCCTGGAGCTATTCGAGGAGCAGAACGGCAGCCTGCAGGAGCTGCACTACCTCATGACCGTCATGGAGCGGCTGGACTGCGCCTCGGCCATCCAGAACTACCTGAGCGGGACGCACAGCGGTAGCCCGGCGCCGGTCCGCGGGGTCGCCCAGGAGAACCAGGGCCTGGAGCTGGACGAGAAGCTCTGAGCACCCCCAGGCGGCGGGGCGGGCCGCCGTCCGCAGCGCTCTGGGTCCCGGGGGCCCCTGACATTGAGGAAGAATGCAGCAGGTGCTCCTGGTCCTGCCCTTCCATCTCATCAGAACCCTGCGACAGTGCCTGAGGCCGCCGTGAACCCCGGGTGCGTTCATTGCCCGCCTCCTCCACAATTGCAACCCGCTTGGTCCTGCGAACAGGTCCCGTCCTGGCCGGCAGGGGGCGCAGGAGCCCAGCGGATGGTCAGGCCTGGCTGGCCTCCGGGAAACTCCTTGACCAGTGGACTGGGAGACTGCCCTGTTGGCATTCCTTGCGGACTGGCCAGTCCCCTGGGATTCACGGAGCGCTTCGTGACACCCAGCATCGGAGTGGGTATCACGGGGAATCCTGGGATAGAGGAGATGGGGCTTGGAGCTTGACAAACCTGCAGTGCTCTTTTGGGAGTCAAGAAGCACCCACGGGCTGAGGGCCAACGCCAAAACGGCAGTGCCCTGTGGTTAGGACATGTGGGCGTGGGATGAACCGACGTGTTTTAGGAGCTGACAGGGGAGGCAGCATAGTGTGGGCTGGAGCAGTGAGAAGGCTTCATAGAGGATGTTGGAGAGAGGGTAGGGACAGTAAGGAGTGGTTCAGCCATCTTTGGGTGGGGCCAGAAGGGGATGGTGGCTGGACTTAACAGTAGAAGCCAGAAGTGAGCATGGGTGCTGAGGTGTTAAGGAGCTGCCTAGTGGTTGTGATGGGAGGGGAGGACCAGGGTTCAAGGTCAGCCATGCCTGGCTATCCACCCGTCTCCTTTGTCTTCCTTTGACTCTGCCTTCCCTTCCTTGCCTTGTCTTCCTCTCTCTCTGCTATTATCTCCATCATAAAACATCAAAATGGAAAAGAAACTTCAAGATGAACGTTCGTTCCCAGTCTTTTTAACTGGAACTGTGTGAGTTTTCAGTCTCTCTGACTTCATTTTGCTGTCACCATTTCGTGCAGCCTCTGCATCCCTGAATCTGTCTCCCTGTTACTCTCTGTCTTAACATCTTCCCAACCCTGCAGAGTCACTGTGCCTGCCTTTGAGGGTTTCCTTTACTCCATGAACGCCCCTGTCCTTCCCCTCAGGCAGCTTTAAACCAAAGTTATGTATCAAAAGCAATGAAAAGACCCTGGGCTACCCTATGAATGAGGGGGGAGGATTTTACCCCATGAATCAAGATCCAGTTTAGGGTCAGGAAATAAACAATGGGGATTAAAGAACACACCATTCAGTCAGTGAATATTTATTTACCCCCTACTATGTGTTAGACTCTGTATAGGAAAGAGATTAGTGGGCTGGGGCCTGGGAAGAGAATAAAGGATTTGACTCAGTTCTAGTAATACTTTTGTTTGCAAGCAGGTGTTGTTAATTTTTTTAAGGGCAGGCAAACAATCTCTCTGGCAACACTAATGCTTTGCTTTTGTATTTAATTAAAAGATATGAAAACTTTTTCTATAGTAAACAATATTGTATAATAAAATATGAAAATTACCTTTCTTCATTATTAACTGTATTTTGCTCAAATTGATAAATTTGGATATGGGTATGAATGGTTTTATTTGGTCAAATTATAGCGACGGGGGCTGGTTGGAAGGAAGCGTTTTGTAGATTGTGCTTCCAGAATGAAAATTGTCTGGGTTCAGAGTGGTAAATTAGGGAGGTTCACTTCCCATTCTGTTAGAAGTGAGCCTTCAGTGTGGGGCCCTTCCACCTCCTCCCTCTTCCATTGTGTCCCACCCTCCTGGTTGGTGCTTTGGCTTTCCTTGCTTCCTTGGCTCAGGATTGGGCTGCTGAGAGCATCTTTCTCTCCTGGAGTCCAAGTCTCTTCCTTGCTCTTCATACCAGCCCAAGGCATCTTTATTTCGTGTTCCTCCCTACCCTGGAATGAATTATTTTAGGAGTTTCAGGTATTCTGGAATTGTGCATTGAAGTCACAGGGGTTTCTATGCTGGGACGGAATGCCTTCTGACCCCCACTCTAATTCCTCAGAATGGGCTCCCAGTGCCTGGAAAGAGATGTTTGGAAGTCTCAGGGGTAGGTGGCAGGCTGCCCGATCTCTGGAGGATGGATCCTTCTTTTCTTAAATCACACCTGCTTGGCATGTATTTGCCAGCACCCAAAGTCAAGGGCTGGAATGTTGGGAGTGTTGGGGGGGATGTTAGGAGACTTAGCACTCAGCCCTGTCTCTAGTGCTAATTAGCACAGCTCTCACCTCTCTAGCTCCAAACTTCATCATTCTTGGATGAAGTGACTTTACCTTTGGCCCTTTTCCTGGTAGGCCACCTGCCTGGTTTCTAAAACACTAAACTTGGGACTTCAGCTCTCACACATGTTGTAGAGCCCTCCTAAACTTCTTTGTGTGGGGTTTAGAGCTGGCAGGGGAATAAGCAGGAAGCACTGGCCTAGGTCTGTAGGCTTAGAGGCCCCAGTATTCAGAAGTAACCTGTGTCTTCGTTACCCCATCTACCTGCTGAGTGACACTCACACCAATGTATGGATTCGTGGTGTCCAACAGCAATAAAAGGAAAGCCATATATTTGATTCTGTGTTTTCTAATAATCATACATGCAAAAAATGTAAAAAGGAACAGGTGAAGTCAGTGTTACTATATTTTGTTTAACCTAGTATGTCTAGAATATTATAATTTACCCACGTAATGAATATAAAAATATTAATGGCATACTTTACATTATTTTTTCATAAAGCATTTGGACTCTGGTACATAGTTTACAATTACAGCATTATCTCAATTTGTATTGAACATGTGCTAAATTTTTGTTGGAAATATTTGATCAATATTTAGCTTTCATAAAATTTACAACTGAAAAAGTATACTTTTGTAACAAGTTAAACAAGCTAAAAGTTTTCCAAGAATGAAATTAGGTATAAATTTTAAAATTTAAATTAATTGAAATAAAATGAAAATTCAGGGACGTCTGGGTGGCTCAGTCAGTTAAGTGTCTGGCTCTTGATTTTGGCTCAGGTCATGATCTCACGGTCTTGGGATTGAGTCCTGCATGCTTGACATTCACTTGACTCTCCCTCATGACACTCCCTCCCTCTCTCATGCACACACTCTCTCTCCTTCTCTAAATAAATAAGTGAATAAATAAAATCTTAAAAAAATTGGGGCGCCTGGGTGGCTCAGTGGGTTAAAGCCTCTGCCTTCAGCTCAGGTCATGATCCCGGGGTCCTGGGATCGAGCTCCGCATCTGGCTCTCTGCCCAGCAGGGAGCCTGCTTCCCTTCCTCTCTCTCTGCCTGCCTGTCTACTTGTAATCTCTGCCAAATAAATAAATAAAATCTTAAAAAAAAAATCTTAAAAAAAATTGAAAATAAAATAAAAATACTGTTCCTTAGTTGTACTAACCACATTTCAGGTGGTTAGTAGTTAGGTGTGCCTACTGGATACCGTAATGAATAGCACAGGTCCAGATTATGGATCCACGTGGGCATAACTTTGGTGTGTACCTAACCATTCACTCATTCACTCATTCATCAAACATTTACTGAATACCTGTCCTACCCAAAATGTTGCTTATAAAAATTCAATGAAGAAGAAAACTCTTGTTCTCTAGGAGCTCCTGGGATGGGGGGAGTCAGAGAAAAAGGGCACCTTTCCCCCGCCCCCCTCTGTGTGTGCACCTGAATCAAGAAAGAAGTGGGGGATAAAGCCTAGGTAGGGTTTGCGGCAGACTCCCTCTGTAGCGTGGTGGAGAGGCCATGGATTCAGAGTCAGGTGTCCCTGGCTCGCCCAGCACATCAGGTGGGTTCTCCATTGCTCGAAACAGGATCCTCTCTGGCAGAGGACTGTAGACAGGGATTTAATCTTGAAGGATAAACAATCATTTTGAGAGCTGAGAAATAGGATTGAGGTGAAGTTTCCAGGAACAGTACCCTAAACTATGGTGTAGAATGAGCCCAAGGGGGAAACCAGGATTGCCATGGCTGGTACCACTGAGCACTGTGTAGCAGGAACCCAGCATGAGGTCGCAGCCACTTCTGCCAGCAACACTGTCTCTTCTCATTTGGGAAGCAGTCCTTACCTCCACCCTTGAAGGCTGAGGTTCTGCGGCCATTCATGTCAGCACACATGGAAGCTCCTTGCGCTACCTCCTTCTTCACGCCACCCATTTCTGAATCAGATCTCAAGTGGGGACATCAGACGGTCAGAGTTCAGATAACTTCCTGAATCCTAGCTGCAAAGGAATCTGAAAATTTGAATTCTGACTTTAATATTGGAAGGTAGGACTCAGTGTAAGCGAATACACCCAGATATGGAAAAAGCTACTCAAAAGTCTGGACAGGCATGAATACAACAGACGTCCACTATGGTGTGGTTAATGCTATGGTTCCAGGCAGCAAACTCTCTTCCCAAGAAAAGTCACACTCTCAGCAGTTTCCTGTGTGTCTCCATTGACCTTCAGAACCTTCTCAATAAAGCATAACTGCACACATCCCTTAGGATGGCTTTCACGCCCAAATCTGATTCTGTGGTCTAGGATCAGGCCTTGACATGTTTCGTGAGTATGAAGCAAGAGCTCACTGACAGTTCTCAACTGATTTATTCAGTTCCTTCTACAGCCCCACATGCCATCCTGTGCCGCAGAGGCTGAAAACTGAACCAACATTTCTGAGACCCCCTTGGCAGATGGAGGTCCAGGTGTGTTTGGGTTCTGCCACCCAGCTGAACTCATGTAGGACTTTGATTTGGCATTGAATGAATGTTAGGAGTTGATCAGGATACAAGGCTGGTGGTTGCTCTGAGGAGCTGAGGTGGCCCAGGACCCACCAGCTGGGGCAGATGCTCCTGATCCAGTAGCTTCCTCAGTGGCCTGATTCCGGGATGTTGTGGGGAGTCAATACTGCAAGTCCTATTTACAGCAGTCTGTTCCTTCGCCTCTTCCAATGACTATCTAGCCTCATAATATATCATTTTGTGCCTAAACTCACTAGACAGAGACTCTATAATGTATGACTAAGATTCCTATCTAATGTGCCAATGAGTCTTTCTCTGGAAAGGCTTTCCTTCATTCTGTGATCATACCCTTCCTCTTTGCTGGTGTCAAA